TCAGCAGTTGAAATAGGGATTGAACATGGTTGTCCGTTGAAAAAGCACGCACACGCTCACATAGGCAGACACAGAGAGAGAGAGAGAGAGACCGAGACAGAAAGAGAGACAGACAAACAACCAAGCAAACAAGCTAGCAAAAAACAAACAAGCAAGCAAACAAACAAAAAGTCAAACAGAAACACAAACACAAACGAACGAACTAACAAACTAACAAACAAACCGACACACAACTACAAGCAAGCAGGAAACAAACAAACAAGCAAACAAACAATTACACACACCAAAACAATTACACACCAAAACACACGCACACAACACACGCACACACCCACACACACACACACAAAACAGACACACACACACCCACACACACACACAAAACACACACACACACAAAACACACACACACACACACACACACACACACACACACACGCACACCGGTCTACCTTTACCTACCTTACCCCATGTATCTACCTCGTACGCCTGCGCCTACGCCTTCCACCTATGCCGAGACTCACACCTGCACCTAGACATATCGACACGCACACACACACACACAACCACATCTGAATGTTTGACACTCGGCCAAGGCAAATGTGAGGAATCGGTGTGCGTATGTGCGCATGTGCGTGCCATTGTTTGTTGTTGGTGGCCGTTTTTGAGGTTGATGTTTAGGGTTTTTGAAAGGGAATCCAAAGCCCAGTTGTAGGTGTCCAATCACATTTAGAGACAATCCCCTCACTTGCCCAAAGCTAACCTTTTGACCCTTTGGTTTCCCTTTCAATTTCTAGCCTGTTATTTCTGGGTCCTTTGGGCCACTGAGACCCACATGTGAAACCTAGCCTATTTGGTCAATGTAGTAGCTAGTTCCACAGTTTCTATCTAGGAAATACTAAGGGCGCTACTCGCAAGAAACGTGGAACACCCAAAACCACCTTCAGAGAATCTCCTTTCGGGGCAACAAGTGTGTGGGATTCCACGTTGAATTGCGAGGGAGTGTATCGTAACAATAGAAACCTTCATGCATTATGCTGGGCTTCGAATCCCAGCATGTGGCTGTGTGTGTGTGTTTGATTTTTTGTTTAAGGGGGCGACGTTGTAAGGACAACCGCCAAAGGCACGCCGCCACCAAACACTCAAAAGGCAACCCACCGGTTTGTGGGTCACCCACCATTTTTTGTCCGGTGTTGCCACCGCCCAGGTTTTCCCCCGGGTCTTTTTCCGGATGAATGGGGGTGCACCACTCCCAGCGGAGGCATCAAGGTGCTGCAGGAGATTCTGATCTCCTTGGGCTTCCCGCAGAATGCCAAGGGTGGGGGCCCCAAAACGGAGAGCTGAGCTAGGGGTTGGGGTGAGACCCGGCCGGCTAGGGAAAGGCAGAGACCCAACACCTGAGGACTGGGGCAAAACGGGCAGTGCTTTTTACGCCGAACGTTTGGGTATTCTGGATCAGTTAGGTGTCAAGCATTTGAATTTCCACAAATGGAAGAGACATTGGGGACCCGTTCAAAGGTCGGCTTGCTTGCTTTGAACCTCAGCCCTTTGGATCAGTCCGGTTCAACTGGACCTGGACTTTTTGGAAGTGGCAAGCGAAGACATGACGGACAAGTACTCTAGTCTATTGTTGGGAAGGACATGGGGGTCCCATACCTTTTTCACAAACAGAGGGCCCACTCAATCTTCCCATCTCCTCTTGGGGAAACATTGGTAACTTTGTCCGGGGCTTTCAGCAGTTAGTTGGCGCCAAGCGCCAGATCTTGTTGCCTCGTGTTTGGAATGAGAACAAGCGATGCATGACAATCCCTTCTTAGCTTTGGTTTGCAAGTTATATTAAGTTGGCCAGATTTATTCAGCCTTGTGCATGTCCTGTAGTTGGAGCGCCTGGGTTTCTCTGGATGCGAGCTGTGGAAGGCACACGCTTGCACCTGGATCTGAGGTATGTTCGAGCAGTGGAAGGCGGTGTCTCGAACCTTGTCCAATGCATGCACTCTTGGAACGACATTTGAGCAGCGCCCGACACTTCTATTGGCCATTTTGCTAGGTGGTTCTACTTGCTCGTTTAATTGAGGATTATAGTAAGGCTAGAAGCTTCGTAGCCATCTTAGTAGATCTTTTGAGCGCTGCTCATTGGTGCCATGAAGCCGCCAGGGGTTGTATCAGGATTTCAGGAAGGCCTATTGCCTTTCCCTTTAAAGTGGCCCCAAGGTCCGTGTTAAACCAAAGTCGGCCCAACCCTGGGAAGCGTCAAAGCAGCTTGTGAGCCGGGTACGCCGAGAGGTAGCACACTCCCTTCTGGGCGATAAGCGCAGGCGCAACAAGAGGCATCCACACAGAACGGTGCACAGAACGGTGCGGAAGAGGAGGCGAAAGACAAGGCGAGCTCGTGAATGGATGTAGGGAGCCTTTTGCAGTTCGCCCGTGCTCGATTTCAATAGGCGCTGAACTTCAGTAGTGTTGGTGACTTGTGGCTGGCTAAGCTTTGAAGCCATCCTTGCAGCACCTCGATTTTGTTGATGCCGCATGGTTGGATTGGAACGCTCACGCAGATGTTCGATCTGTCGAGCTTATCAGGACAAGAAGAAGGGCAAAGACGACAAAAAGGCTGGGGAGTTGACCCAGCTGTGCCTTTCGGGATCCCCCTTTTTCGGTGTCTCTTTAACCCAACGCAAAAGGGTACTCCTACAAGAGCACGCCCCCAAAATGGGACAAGCTCTTTTTTTTGGGGGGGAATTCAGAAATGGCAGCTGGTGCAGGCTCCTGCAAATCATCTCACCTTGGGTTTGTGGATTTGGTGCTCAAAGCCGTTTGTGTGTTGTGCGCTGTGATTTCGGTAGGACAAGAAGGATGACAAGAAGAAGGACCGAAACTCTAGGACCTGTTTTCCGGGATCCCAAAGCAAGCTCTTTCCCTTTAGGACAAGAAGGAGGACAAGAAGGACGATAAGAAGGACGACAAAAAGGACAAGGGCAAGGCTGGGCTTTGCATCTGTGACGCATACCCAGCTCAACATGGAATCCACGCCACACAAGGAAGCCACCGGACCAGAATGGTCAGGGTCATTCCCTCATTGCCTAGAGCAAGTTGAGGCGGGTTTGGGGACAAAATCCTCTAGATGTTTGGAGGTTGAACAACCCCATTTGAAAGTTGCACTGTTGCAGCAGTGGTTGTAAGATGCTCTCCATGGTTTCTGGAGCCGGCCTCCCGGATGTGTCATCCGATCTGTTCGGCTGAGGGCGATGACCCCGCCGCCTTCAAGGTCACCAAGGAGGCGTCGTCGTTTCGTCCGATTGGACGACCCCGCTTGGGGAACATGGGAAGCATGGGGCTTTTGGGTCTGGAAAAGGGAGCAATGTCTTTTGGTCGGTTAAATGGGGGGGCATTTCTTGGCGAGGTTCGAACGTGGTAACATTCTTGGGGTTGAATGGGGATCGTTTCTTTTGGAGTTCACCATTGGGAGTGGAAAACCCATCAAATGGCAACATTAAAAGAAGGGTCTCCGAATATGTTTTCGGTGCTTTGGTTGAAGTTCTGTATCCTCCCAGGGCAATCCACGAAAGGGGTCCGGGACTTTGGAAAGTCACAGAGGCTGCGGGGAACAACTTCAGTTGCCAAACATATCGACCTGGGCTCATGGGTGTCCCATGGGGCCTTTCAAAGGCTCGGCCTGGATGAACGACGGTTGGCATGGGCAACGATTTACCTCTTGCAGGCCATTGAGGATAACCCGGAGAAGGTACTTCGGCCCCAGACCCTCGAAACCCTCAAAGGATACTTGGAGCCTTTTGGGGCGGACGGTTGAACAGAATCAACCCACCCGACTTGTTGCAAGACCTACCTGCACTTACCTGCACTGTTTACATCACGTACCTTCAACCAAAAAGGACGCCCAGCCTAATAGCTTTTGCTGCATCCTACCTTTACCCACTGTTTACTTCAAAGACCAAGAGGGGATCAGTCTTGGGGGGTTCCAGAAAAAGGTGAGAATCACGTTGGCGGTTCCCATCATGCCGGAGACCGCCCCACTCCGGCGATGTCTCAGAAGCGGTTTCTCGTTTCAGAGTGTGACTGCAGCTGGCTCGTTTCATAGTGCGGCTCAAGTTTAGTGTATGATATGTCTCAAGCTGTGGATTCTCCTATTCTCGCAAGGCAAGGAACCACGTTATATGGTTATATGGTTAGTAGCTCCAAGCTGCAAACGAGGGTCACAAGTGGTACACGACGGTCGATGTTTTTTTGATTCGTTGTTGGAGACCAAAGCGGTTCAGGCAGTCGTTCGAGAAAAGCAAACCATGGCAAATGTTATCTTTCCCCCTGCCAACAAAGTGCTCAGCTTCCCCCCTCTTGGTGATGTGGATTTGGTTTGTAGGTTTGGCTGGAAATTCAGTCATGGCCCGCTTTTCCGCAGGTTGAGCTTTGCTGGTCGGGCGTTGGCTCCGACGAGTACGCCTTCCAGCATGGGCCCAAGCTTCTGGCGTGTTGCCAAACTTGTAACCTTTGCGTTTTTCCTTTTTTGGGTCGAATGTTTGGTCAAGGTCCCAAAAGGTTAACCTTTGCTGGGCCGCTGCGGTTAAGGCCCCGTTCTATTTGTGACAGTTGAGGTTCGGTCAAAATGTGTATACGTATAGCGCAATGTG